CCCTATCGTTGCCCCTGAGCCAGGGGAGGAACGGAGGAGGAGCCCAAGCCCTAAGCCCTAAGCCCTAAATAGCAACACAACAACACAAAGCACAACACAACGCAAACAACAAGTGCGGCGCCGCGAGGCGGGGCGAAGCGGCGCCGGCCGGGCCGCTGGCTGCCCGGCGGCGCCCGTTGTACTTACCCTCGCCGGCTGCTGCCGCCCCGCCGCGGCCCCTCCGCCGGGGAGCTGGCGGCCGCTCCGAGACGCACAAAGGACGTAGTGGTACGATGCATCCTCCCTGGAGGCGCGCGCCCGACCCGGACATCTGGGATTTCTCATCTTGTATGACTACCTACCGAACCACCCCAACCCAACCCAACCCGAAGACCCGAATCTCGCCCGAATCTCGGGCCTCCGCTGGGCGGGGGGGGAGGACGATGGGGGGGGGGAGGAGGAGGAGGCGGAGGAGGAGGGAGGAGGAGGGGGAGGAGAGGAGGAGGAGGAGGAGGAGGAGGAGGAGGAGGAGAGGAGGAGGAGGAGGAGGACGGGGAGGAGGAGGAGGAGGAGAGGAGGAGGAGGAGAGCAGAGGAGGAGGAGGAGGAGGAGGAGGAGGAGGAGGAGGGCTCGAGTCTGCCGGGAGCGGCAGGAGGTGGGCCCACCCGGCCGCGAGTTGGCCCCTCCATCCAGGCGACGACCCCCCGTGCGGCCATCGTGCGGACTCCGCACTGCGGAGCGCTGGGCGAGATACGGCAAGGCCTTTCTGGCCACGGCGAGCCTCGGCCACGAATGGGTTCCCGGGCCTGCGGGCGGGAACTTCTGGACAGCCCCGGGGGAGGAGGAGGAGGAGGAGGAGGAGGAGGAGGAGGAGGAGAGGAGGAGGAGGAGGAGGAGGAGAGGAGGAGGAGGCAGGAGGAGGAGGAGGAGGAGGAGGAGGAGGAGGAGGAGGGGGCTTTTCTGGCCACGGCGAGCCTCGGCCGCGAGTAGGTTTTCAGACCTGCGGACGGAAACTTTTGGACAGCGCGCCGCGGCGGCAGCCTCGGCGACGCGCTGTTCCCTGCACGAGGACATGGTGTCGCTCCGGTCTGGGGGGGGGCGGGAGGTCGGGGAAAGCTCCGGACGTCGACGCCCGGGCGGCGAGGAACTGGTTGGCGTTAGGTCGTGCCTGTCCCCCCCACAGGCGGGTTTTGGGCGAACAGTGGAACATTTCCAAATGGTACTCCAACATGATCAAACATAATCACAAAATCGTCCCCAGAATATATTATGCTATTCCTGAGTGCCCAAACATCTGACGTCTCGATTTTTTCGAGACGCGGGCCCCCGACCTCCCGACCACTTCCCCGGGACCGGTTTTTCATCCCGGGTCGTTTTTTGACGGTCCCGAGGCCCGGCGAGGGCCCCGAGAGGCCAAAAATTATGAAAAACCTTTGTCTCGATTTTTTCGAGACGCCCGATGTCTGGGTATTCCTCCTGTGGAGGGACAGGCCCGACCCAAGCTTGGCGTGCCGCGCCGAGGCGCGGGTGGGCCAGAACCGCGGCGGAGCTCCGACGCGCTGGCGGCCTCCCGGCGGCAGCGTGTCGCGGATGCGCACTCCTGCCCTCCCTCGGCGGCGTGCACGAGGAGGAGGAGGGGAAGGAGGAGGAGGAGGAGGAGGAGGAGGAGGAGGAGGAAGAAGGAGGAGGAGGAAGGAGGAGGAGGAGGAGGAGGAGGAGGAGGAGGGCTTCTTAGAGGGAGGCTGCTCCTTGAAGGCACCGGCCTCACATCTGCAAACAAGACCCGCGCCTGCTGAGAAGCGGGGGGTGCTCCTCCCCCCCACCTCCCCCTGCGCGTGGCTGGCTCCCGGGTTCTCGGCAGCCTCCTGGCCTCGGGAGGCTTCTGCTGGCAGCTGCGCCTCGCCGATAAGGATTCCAGGGATAGGGGAACGAAAAATGGCATAAACATAGGTCCAGCGCGGATTTCTTGGATCCGCGCTGGACCCCCCTCCCTGGCGCGCGGAGCGCGCCAGGGGCGGCGCCAGAGGCGCCGCCAATTGCCCCCAGCGCCGAGCCGAGAAATCCGCGCGGACCTCCGAGTTCTGATGTTTATGTCGCTGTTTGTTCCCCGGGGAGATGCCGGAATCGTTCCGAGGGGCCGCCGGAGAAGCGAGCCGTGCCCCGAAAGCTGGGCGACCCTTCCCCCCTCTCTCGGGCCGGGCGAGAAGGGGGGATAGCAAAGGGGGGGGGGTGAGAATCAGCTCACGTAGCTGTTTTTCCCAGCGCCTCCTGGCGCCGGAGGCGGCAATGTATCGAGGAATCCCCTCGGTGGGGCCGAAGCCAGCTGCATGCAGCAGATTTCGCACCCCCCCCTTTCTCAATCCCCCCCCTTTCGTCCGGCCCGACCCTCCTGGGGGACGAGGAGGGGCCATCGAGCGTCGGCGCTCGGCGGTGGGCGAGAGCGCCTGCGATCTTGGCTTTGGCCAGCTGAGCGTGCAGGGTGTCGTAGTCCTCTTCCTTCTCGGCGTCGCGCAGCGCCTGCGCCGTCCCCCCAGACATCCGACGACGCGTTCTGCTGCAGTGCGCGGCCCCACGAGGAGGTCCCGACCCCTTCGCTGGGGGCAGTTTTTTTGTTGTCCCAGATGCTCAGATCCATTTTTCATGGCCCCAAGGCTCGGAGACGGCCTCCGAGCGCCGAAATCGAGGAAAAACTGCCGGTCGGAACAAATATCTTGCACCAGAGAAAACCCCAATCAATGAATGGTTTTCAATGGAGGAGATCGACCGGGAACCCGGGAGCCCAGAACCTACCGAAATCAACGCGGAACCAATAACCGGGAACCCGGGAGCCCAGAACCGGGAACCCGGGACCCCAGCCTGTGACCACAGAGTCGGCGGAAACTTTCGCCAAATCTTTCAGCTACTGCTATAGGACCCCTTCAGTGCAAGCACTGATTGGGGAATGATCGCCGGATGCCTGCGATCTCTAGACGAGCGCGTTCCGCCGCTCGCAAGAGTCACTCCTCGCAAATGGCATGGACCCGCCGTGGGGGCTTGACACGATCAACTGCATCGGCGCAGACCTGTCTTTTTCTGACGTTTGCGAGTAGGCACTCTGCGAGTACAGTCGGGGCGTTGACCGAAGGAACCCTAAATAAGGAACGAGGCCCTTTTTCCCACAAGTTCAACTTCGATTTCCAATGGAAAACCTAGGGAAAACCCGAGGCAAACTGTAAAACAATCAAGGAACACGGAGCCCCTCCCCAACGAAAAGGGTTCCTTCTTCAGGGCCCCGACTGTAGTGGAGCACGCTCGGCGAACTTCGCTCGGCGGCGGCGGCGGCGCAGCCGGCGGCCGCTCGCGGGCGTCCGAGCGGGGGCCCGGGTCTGTCGGGAGCGGCAAGAGGTGAGCCCGCCCGGGCCGCGAGCTGCCCGCGTTGCCCCCCCCCCCCCCACTCGAGGCACCGACCCCCGTAGAGCCCTGGGGGGAGGAGGAGGAGGAGGAGGAGGAGGAGGAGGAGGAGGAGGAGGAGGAGGAGGATGGGAGGAGGAGGAGGGGGGGGGAGGAGGACAAGCTGGAGCGCTCGCGTCATATCTGACGTCCTACCCCTCCCTCCCATCCCTTACCATGGCGCTGATTTTCTCTATCCGCGGACGCGTGTCGTAGCGGACCTGTGGCTCCGCGCGCGCGTGCGTAGTGGGTGGTGGTGCACGTGCGTGCGTGCGTGCGTGTGTGCGTGGTTGTCGTGGTGGTGGTGGTGGTGGTGGTGGTGGTGGTGGTGGTGGTGGTGGTGGTGGTGGTGGTGGTGGTGGTGGTGGTGGTGGTGGTGGTGGTGGTGGTGGTGGTGGTGGTGGTGGTGGTGGTGGTGGTGGTGGTGGTGGTGGTGGTGGTGGTGGTGGTGGTGGTGGCGGTGCGGCGCGGTGGTGGCGGGCGGATGGGCGCGCGAGAAAGAGGCCCGCGCTGGGGCGAGAACGCCATCCTGAACGACGGAGGCCAAACACCGATCCGAAAATGAGGCCCACGCTGCAGCGGGAGCACGATTCGGAACGATTCGGGAGCAGAAATGAAGCCGGCGCCTCAGCGAGAGCAGCATTTTGAAACAAAAACGCAAGCGAAAACCCAACTTCCGGGAATCCTGTGTGTAAAAAGACGATGCGCGGGGGGGGTCTAATACTTTCAGGCCGCCATCGGGGGAAGAGGGAGAGTAATATTCATATTGAGTAATTGTGGAGGAGGAGGAGGAGGAGGAGGAGGAGGAGGAGGAGGAGGAGGAGGAGGAGGAGGGAGGTGGAGGAGGAGGAGGGAGGCTTTTCTGGCCACGGCGAGCCTCGGCCGCGAGCAGGTTTCCAGACCTGCGGTCGGGAACTTTTCAACAGCGCGTCGCGGCGGCGGCCTCGGCGACACGCCATTCCCCTGCAAGAGGACATCGCGTCGCTCTGGTCTGGGGGGCAGGAGGTCGGGGAAGGCTCCGGACGTCGACGCCTGGGGGCCAGGAAATGGTCAGCGTAGCGCCCGAGGCCTGCGGGCGGGAACTTCTGGATAGCGTGACGGCGGCTCCGGCGACGCGCTGTGCCTTGCAAGCGGATGTAGCGTGTCGCTCCGCTCCGCGGGGCGGGAGGCTACGAGAAAAGCTCGGGGCGTTGAGGCTCGGGGACTGGGACGTGGATAGCGTGTCGCTCCACAGCGTGACCGGCCAGAGCCGGATGAGCGACACGCTGAGCCAAAGCTCCTGACCGCCGCAGACCTCAGGAATGGCCCGAAAACCAAGCAGCCCCTCCTGAACCCGAAGTGGACCTCCTTCGGCGATTCCGAAGGGTGTGCTTTGCCAAGGGCGTGGTCTGCAATCGGCAACCTTGGGACCTCGAAAGCGCTTCCCGCCGCGCCCCGAGGAGGCCCGACGAGCACAACGTCGTGCATCCCAGGCCCCGACGGTCCCTGAGGCCCGACGTCTCAAAAAAGAAAAAATGAGACGCCGTGAGAAATCGCGCCTGGAGCCCTAGATCCCATCTTCCTGCGCCATTTTGCGAGCCGGATCGATCTGT